TTATATAGCGAAATGAATTTAAAATTTTTGGAGAAAAGCAAAAAAAAAAAAAAAAAAAAATATGCACGCGGTAAATCATGTAACTTAAATATTTGCTAAGCCACCGGTCATGATCAGCAGAAAATAAATTCTAAGAAAATCTAGTATAAATCTCGATTTTGTGTAAAATAATTTGGTCATTTCAAGTAATTTACTACTTTTACAGAGAGTAAATAATAAATAAAATGATATTTCGTGTCCGGCAAAGTATATCTTTATTTCGTAGCTCGGAAATGAATATTTGCTGCTACGCCTTACCTTACTGCGTCATGAAATTTTGCAGATCCGTAATGTTATCGGCTATTAAATCACGTTAATATTGTAAGCTAAGACAGAATTATAAATTAATGATTAGTGTGTTGTGTTTTTCGTTGTATTTCTGTTGTGTTAAGTGTTATATCTTCAAAAAAATTTTTCAATACCTGTTTATTATCAGTTAAGAAAGTTAGTGAATACGTTATATAAGAGTCTTATTTACTAAACTTAATTATAAGAATAACTCATTTATTTATTAATTAATGCTAACAGATGGTTGGATAGGATCCGTCCAATCAGAATGTAGCATTGGTTAATAAATAATTGATATTTATCAACACAAGCACTATAACCATGATATTATCGTGTGATATTATGATGTTAAAGTATGTAAGCTTTTAAAAAGCTCATTAAATAAGCTTTTTTCAATTCAACTATTTTATATTTCCACTTCAAATTTTACATTCCCACACTCTTTTTCTTCTCTTTTTAAACCATTTTTTTTATTTCATTTTTTTTTATACATTAAACCTTTATAGAAATATTGAAAAATAAAGAAACTGATAGACCTTCTAAAAGGCTTTGAAAGGTAAGCATCATATTAATGATATGCCATGCTTTTTTAATTTATGTTTCAATTAAACAATATTTTTAATGTTTTATAGACTTTACTTATGAAAAACCTAGGATCTTCACAATCTTATTAATAGCAGCCGATTGACTATTTAACTTCAATCTAGATATGAACTTTAGAAAAGTTTAGAGCAGATATCAATTATCAAGGATTAATTGAGGAAGTGAATACGAAAGACGAATTAGAGGATCAGCTTTGTAGATTTGTACATGCAATGAAAAAACAGGATGGTTCTCAATACCATGTTTCTTCAGTAAATAATTGCCTTTTTTAATAAATAATTATTTAAATAACGAGTCTATTCTTCAAAAACCTATTAACATTATGGATAAAGATCAGTTTTATAGATTATGGCAAGTTTTTAATAGTAAAGTTAAAAGTCTTGCAAATCAAGTGCTTGGGTAACGTAGTGGATCTGATGGACTTACTGAAGAAGAACTTCTTAAAATTATTGATCATTCAACAATGTCTGGTGAAAATCTTACTAGTTTATCGTATAGGGTCTTTTTTTAATGTTATTCTTTTAGGTTTAAGAGGTGGAGAGCACTTTAATTTACTATTTCATAGTTTTATACGCATATATGCAGAAAAGACAAATATAAGGGATTTGAAGTTATTCATAAATCAAAGACCAATCAACGTAGTGCTAATAATATTGAATCTCAGGCTGATAAATTATATATTCCTGATATACCTGGCATTATTGAAATGTATGAAACTTATTTTACCAAGCGGCCAATTCAGGCTGATCCATATTTTTATCTTCAGCGATGTAATATTAATGAAGGTAGGTATACATTAAAACTTTTGATTTTTAATTAAATCTAGTGCTAATATTTTATTTTAATATTTTACATTTTTTGCAGTTAAATTTAACGGACAATGATATTTTAAAAAACGTACCTGAAAAAGAAATTACACTTTTTATGAAGAAAATTATGTCTATAACTGGATTGGATATTCGCAAAATTCTGGTCGTAAAACACTTGTGTAAATATTGAAATGACGTGGATTTTCAAATTTTGAATGTATGACAAATACAAGACATAAATTAGAACAAGGTCTTGCTAGATATGAATGCCCAGGTGTTGAAATTCAACAAAATAATGCCTTGAATATCGCTGAAACATTTGGATTTAATGAAAGTATTAAACAACTTAAGAAATCTTTATGACAGATATATCACTATTTAATTGTAATAAACATTTATTTATAATACTGCAATATTTTATACTTTATTGTTAATTTATTTATTTAATAATTTTTTTTTAAATAAGAACAAAGTTGTTGATTTAACAAATAATAATACTGAAACTGCACGCAAACCACTTCAAGATTATAATAGAATTCGAGAAAACCAGAATGAAAATTTGGGAAATTGATTTCAGAATTGACAGCTGATAAGTTTTTATTAATTCTGTTGTTACTTTTAATATTAACAATAAGAAAAAACGTGCATTGCAGTTGGAATACTCTAATACATTTTATTATATTGTATAACTATTGTAAATTATAAATGTCCAATGTTATTTCAAGATTTGGCATTGATGGTAGGAAGCTAACGAGGAACAGAGATGGCATTTGAGGAAAAATATGTGACGTGAGTAAGAAAAAAAAAATATAATTCAATAATACGGAGCTTCATTGTCCCAGGAATAATGACAATTCAAAGAAATTTTAGATAATATTAAAACTTTAATTTCATTTTTGTTTTCGCTATTTATATTTGTGTAACAATGAATTTCCAATAAAAATATGAATTTATTAAAATTTAATTTTTATAAACTTTTTTAACATTATAATTTAATAATAAATAGATAATGAAATATATCAAACTAAATATTTCAATTTTCAAAATAGTTATTCTAGTTCTGATGACTAAATGTGTCACGAAAAATCACGCGAAATGATTTATTTAGCATCGCCCCAAATTGTGGTATTTAAAATTAAAAAAAAAAAATCGCAGAGATGATTAAAGTCGATCAATTTAGTATTATCGATGATTTGATTCTAAAATAGCATTTATTTCGTTTTGTATTTGGGACGTGAAGATTACAAGGTTTTGATTCCTTTCTTCAAATCCATGAAACTAACATAATATTTATAAATTTGATACTATGAATGTTAAAATCTGCTTAGTAATTTCACTATTATTTAAGGATGTACTGTACGACATTGATAATTACGTTCATCGTATTGGAAATATTTTAGTCCAAGTATTTACAAAATATTTTATACTCGTCATAATTATAATATTGAATAATTCTTTTACAATCACGTCACAATCGTGTGTCATGACTCAATTGTTAGTAGCAAATAAAATAAAAAGAGCGACTACATTGAATACTTTTAACATATAAAACTTTTTTATATGCTTAGCACATATTGTATTAAAAAAATCATTCAAATCCATTTAATGAAATAAAAATTTGATAATACATTGTAGAGAGTAAACAATTTAGCTATCCCAAATCATACATTCGATTCGTCTTATTCTTTCTCGATTCGCCTTTTAAATTTACAAATCATTAATTTTTATAACAACCTTACCAAAATTTTTACCATTAAATATATTTAAGAAAGCTTGTGGAGCGTTTTCAATACCGTTAACTACGTGTTCTTTATATTTCAATTTACCTTCTTTCAACCATGGTATCATCTCTTTTTGGAATGAATCATAATGCTCTTCATAATGATCGAATATCAACATTCCATATATTGTAATTCTTTTACTTACAAGTACCGAGAGATTTTTAACACCATATTTTGTTGTTGAATTATATTGAGAAATCATTCCACATGAAATTACACGTGCTTTGACATTTAAATGAGTTAAAGCTATATCAAGTGTTTCCCCGCTACAAGATATTGAGAGGGTAAGTTATCATCTGAAAGATTATTTCATTTAAAGAATATCAGAATGGAGATATTGTCTTACCCAACGTTATCAAAATAAATATCAATTCCGTTAGGACAAGTTTCTTTTAACGCTTGATCAGTATTGATTTTTTTATAATTAAAAGCGTCATCAAATTTTAATTCTTTTAATAAATAATCGACTTTAGTATCACTACCAGCTGATCCAATAACTCTCAATCCATTAATTTTTGAAATTTGTCCTAAGACTTGGCCAACAGCTCCTGCTGCAGCCTATATAAAGATGTAGAAAGGATGATTAAATACTTTATTTAATGTTCAAAATTATTATTAAATATTAAATATATATTACCGAGATAAAGATAGTTTCATCTTTTTTTGGCTTTGCAAATACATATAAACCGACATAAGCGGTAAAACCTGTCATACCCAATATTCCAAGAAAATAACTAAGTGAATTACCATCATTTTTTGCTTCTTTAAGGTATTTTTTGAAAAATAAACCATTTTTCGCTTCATCAGGAGAAATTTTGCTATACTCTTCCCAACCTATATGATGGATTTGAATGAATTAATAAATCATTTCTTGGATACTGATTGTCATTCTAGTAAAATATACTTGCCGATATCACCCAAGAATACATCTCCTTCTTTCCATTGATCATTATTGCTGTAAACCACAATGCCAATACCACTAGCTTTCATGACATTTCCTTCAATAAACGGTTCAACTAAATTATAATCTGATCTCATAAGGTTACGCAAATGTGGATCGAGGGACAAATAAACATTTCTGACTAAAATTTCATCTTTTTCCAATACATCTGGGGAAATTTTAATCTTTCGTTTGATGTATTTAAAGTGTTTATCGATTTCTGGTATTCCCAAGTTAATAGCTTTGGTGAAAATCACACCATTGTTTGATACTTCGGTAGACATCCTTAAAATGAAATGATTTGGATGGATGATTCCTATTTAACCTTTTTATCAGCTTGTAGAGGTTTTGGATCGGGTAATTTTTTAACCGATTAACTTTGTTGACGGTTAAAGATTATCTTTATCCGGTTAAAATAATTTCAAATTAGGATAGTATTAAGATTTTTGTGTGGCAAAAAAAAATTTGTAACTGGTTAATTAGCCGGTCAATTAGCCGGTTAAGGACAATCCTAATGTTTTCAATCTTGAAATCAAAAAAAATTTTTCTTACCTTATAAAATTGCTACCTATTTGAGTGTGGATTATATTCTGTATAGATTACTAAATATGGAAATTACTAAAACTTGAATAAGTTTAAAAAATACTACATGATGACACTCATGAAATTATTTTAAAAAGAAATAAAAAGTATTCTTAACAGATTTGGTTTAGAAGAAATACGTCCAATTTCTAAACATCAAAAATAAACGAGAAAAGACAATTTGAAAACTAAACTATTAATAGTTAGTAGAACAAATAAATACTGTACTTGCCAATAAAATGCTTTTTTCTACTTATTCGCGTGCTTTGATTTCATTAAGAATTGGAATTTATTCTTCCGAAATCGAATTAATCGAATTATAATCGAATCTTGTATAAATGGCGCAGTAAGTAGTATCCTTGCTTTCTAATCATTCTTTTGTATAATTAATCTTTTCAGAAAAAAAATATATTAAGTGAATGATTAAAACTAATAAATAAAATAAATCTCCATAAAAAAAAAAAAAAAAAAAAATTGATTTATCAATAAACGCATATCGAAAAGCCGAAAAAAAGGTTAGACAAAGCAGATCGGAGAGTTAGCTATAAACTAAAATATTTAGCTTAAATGTTTCTAAAACCGAATTTCTACATTTTTTCAATCGAAGAGTTAATTATTGCATACCATTTGCAACCTGGTTTGTGTCCTCGTATAACTGAACATTTAAATAAAAAAACTTAAAGTAGTTATTATTTTTGCCTATCGGCATAGTATCCCAAACATGTAAAGACATGCAGTCCAGTTTGAATATTCTAGTAGATTAGGATTGATATTGTAGAAAATATTTGCTTTATTATTGGGCAATGCGATTTGACATAGACAAGAAATAATAAATTCCAAATAACGTAAGTATTATTGTAGCAAATTTAACGATATCTGTCGTTGAACTGTAATAATAGATAATTCTTTTCTGGCAAAAATAATGAGGACCATTTTGCCGAGAAATAACTGTATTAACGGCGATGCATGCTGTCCTCATATGCGAAGCGGTGAGGTGTGAGATTGGCTTTAATTAATAAGTTTGAATGTATATAAAATATTCAAAAGGGACGTTCTCTAAATACTGATGAAAGAACCATACATTTAATTACTTATTGTTTATTTTCTCAATAAAAAAAAATTATTTTCGATTTTATTTTTTTAACATGTTGAAAGGTGGGACGACTTGATGAAATCGAAGGAAAACACTCCTGTCAATATACATAACGATTTCATAATATGATGGTTGTAAAATCACCCATGGAAATGGAAGCCCTGCTGAATTTGCTGATACAATAAATAAACAATTGGTATAGTAAACACTCAGACATCTCTTGCATTACGTATTCTATTCATGTATTATAGCAACAGTAGCAAATTCGATTGTTTAGTTTCGTTCATTCTGAATTATTATGCAAACGTTTTTAATATTAGTTAAACGAAAAAGAGTCTAAGCAATGACGGCTAAGTAAAAAAAAAATGAATGAACTATTTGGTAGTGGCGTTCCTTTTTTTGATATTCCATTTCTGATCTCTTTCTTTCTCTATCATGAAAATGATTAGACTAGTGCTCCGAACCGGTCGGGTCGACCTGGGTTATTGACCCACCCGAATTAAGTTGTCGAGTCGTAATTATAAGACCCGAGACCCAAATTAAATCAATACGGGTAATAATACTTTTGTACGACGTATGATTCTAATTTGTACTACAATAGAAATTTAAATTATAAATTTCTTTTTTTGTATATCGATATTACGCTATCTTAATTAAAAATAATTAAACAATGAGCGAAGGTATCTCTCGAAGCGAAACCGAAAAGATTTACGTCGCGAACTTTTTATAAAAGAAATATTTGAAGAAAATGATCCTCAATTGATTCATAATGCTAAAACTCATCGAGAAGAAAATCGCCTTAGCTGTGCGTTAGTATTTTCGAAATTAATTAATTTAAAAAAATATTTAGTGATAAAACTTGGCTTCGTAATATTAGTGAATGAATATCATGCAGCAGCAATACATTCTCGTTTAAGCAAATACAATTCATGCATGTATGTTTATAAGTTAAATACAATTAATACAATTTAATTATCAAACATTAACTTAGCAACAATATTATAAAATAAATAATTTCAAATATAATTTATAAAAAACACCCGTGGAATATTAATATCGAAATCCGTTTCTCGGCATTACTGTTATCGGTATAACTCGGGTTGTCGGGTTGGGTCGGGTTCGGTTATGTAAATGTTAACCAGATTATTTTTTTAACACTCTCAGGTCGACATTAATCTATTATGAAAAATAAGAAAGACTTGAGCTATTAAGGTTTTCCCTTAGGACTTGCGTCATTTTATTTTGGAAAGTATTAATAAAGCATTGATTGATATCAATTTAATTTTATGGTTTCCGCAGTGAAGTAAGTATGTAAATTTCATCTTTAAGTTTATCGATTTTTAGTATATAAATATACCAACACGGTTTCTATTGGAGGTCATAATTAAAACTTAAGGAATAGAATAAAACAAATAAATAATTTATGAAATGAATGCATAATTTGGCTCAAACATTTAGCTGTGTCCCTATTTGGTATTTTTGTAATGTTAAAAAAAAAAAATAATAAAATAAAAAATAAAAAATTAATTGGGCTAATGAATGATTTATGTCATCATCTCGGTCAATGGTGTTTAATATTATAGGAATTCACTTTATACAATGAATTCTGTAAAACAGTAAAATCAAATCTTAATTTTAAAAAAGAATCAACAAAAAAAATTTTTTTGTTTTATTATATCGGAGAGTATCATTATTATACGTCGCAATGTGTTACAATTAATATTATAACATTTGAATATTGAGCGGGTCATAGAAGTTATAATTTCAATTACAAAAAAAGAATAATTGCGTAGTAATTATTTATTTATTTAGTAATATTCACTCATTGTAATATAAGATTTAAAAAAAAAAGTTTGTGCAACATTGAACGGGAATGTTTTTTTTTTATTTGACAGTAAAATTTGGTTAATTTATGAATGACAAACTATCAAGTACGTCCATTCGAGAAGTCAAAAAATTTTATTTAAATCTCGTATAAATAGATTACTATACCCATTCAATAAATGATAAATAAAACACTATTTTTAGTAAAGTACCTTTGCATAGTTGTACAAACATTCATTGCAAAAAATAGTTTTCGGCTAAATTAGTTTAATTATTTGGTTCCCTAAATGACATTTTTATAAATATTAGCATATTAGCTCGTTAAAAATCAAAAAAAAAAGCAACATCAAAAAAAAACCGCGTTTATTAAACAATCAATCAAAAGATTACTTATTTAACAACTTGATAAAATAATTTTTAAAAGGTTTTAATATATTAAACACATTGATAAATAATTTAAACACAAAAAAATTTATAATTTTAAGAATCTTGATAAACATAATTTTAACGCTTAAATTAACTTTATTGAGAAATGCAACAAGCAAATATTCCTAAAGTTATTATTATCGGTGCGGGTCCAGGAGGACTTGCTCTTTATCATGCATTGATAAAGAACAAAGATAAAAAAGAATTCGATGTGAAAATCTTCGAACGGGAATCCAGTCCAAAAGGTATAAGAGATTTCTTGTATTCATAATTGATCCTGTTTCTTTTTTTAAACGTGTCATTAACGAACTCGAATTAATTTTATTTCATGTAATAATAGAACGATGGCAAGGATATCATATAGCGTTGAATAGTCTCGGAACTCAATCGCTTTTGAATTGTGTACCATCTTCGATCACTTCAAACCTTCAAAAAGCGATGCCAAATCCACTTCCTGACGTGGAATTCCATGGAGCCTCGATTATCGATAATAAAGGAAGTGTATTATGTAATATACCGTCTAAACTATTTAAAGACTTTAACGAACTTGTAAAAGTTCCTGATGAGTTTTCACTGATCATTACTTATCGTGATAGGCTTAGGGATGTATTATTAGATGGTGTACCAGTTCATTGGGGTAAAAAATGTATTAGATACGAAGAAACCAAGGATGGGGTTTTGGTAATGTTTGATGATGGTTCACAAGAATTTTGTGATATCTTAGTTGGCGCAGACGGAATTAATTCTCCAGGTTAGCTTAAAATCTTCCCTAAAAAATTCGCTTGATTGAAATAGAATAAGAATTAAATATAATTTTTTTTCTTTACGTTTTTTTTTAGTTCGAAAACAGAGACTACCCGAATTACAAATTTTCGATTATGGAATAACAAATGTCGTTGCTAATATTGCTGTACCTAAACATTTTATGGACAGATTCATAAAGTTACAAGGAAATTGTTTATTGCAAAAGACACTCGGAACGCATGGTGATTCGTCTTTGGTTATTTTTCGACTAATTCCAATCGAGCAAGAGCCAGATTACAAGAATAAAAGCAATTCTAATGAGCTTCATTACAGAGTAACCTTGAGTTATTCGTACACCTCAAAATTGGACGACGTTGAATCTGATAAACAAAAAGTTGATGATAATGATTCTGCATCAGTCATTGAAAATGTCAAACAGATGATTCGAAATTTTGTTCCAGAATGCGAATTTAATGAAATTTTATTAGAATTATGGGACTTGGTTCCTAAATCAACTCCAAATGATCCAGAAAAATATCAATACAAAACTTATAATCCGACTCGACGAGGACAATATCATGATATAGATCCATCATCTGTTAAACCTTGGACAAGTAGTCGAGTAACTTTATTAGGAGATGCTGTTCATGCTATGAACCCTGTACTTGGATTAGGAACAAATCATGCTTTCCAAGATGCCGATTTACTCTCTAAAGTTCTAATTAATTATTCGTCAAATGACCCTATTTCCTGCATTCAAAAATATGAAAATGAAATGCGAAAAAGATCAACCGTTGATGTGTTAAAATCTAGATCTGCGGCATTGCAAATGTCCTCTCCTGTTGGACATATTGGAGCCATTATTAGAAATAGTAGTTTTAAGATTATAAATTTCATTTTAAACTCTAAAAACATTTTTAAAAAGTTAATTCAATAATTTTATTATATTTTGATCAATATAGAATTTTAATAGATTTTCATATAGTTTATTTATTTTTTACGCATAATGGGTTGTAAATATCATTTTGGACATTTTTGAGCATCATCATTTTTTTTTATATGTTGCATTTTAATTCATCTATTTTATTTATCAAATTAGAATTTTTATAATATCATTAAAATGTTCCTCTTTTTTTTTCCTGAAAGTAAAATAATAATACGATATTTAGTACGTTAAGAAATAAAAATGGAGTTAAAATAAATAAAAGGTGAAAAAAAGAATTAATTTATAAACGAGAAAGGAAAGAAGCAGGATATTTTAAATATTGAATAAATTCATGTTTTTTTACATATACCACAGAGACCTGAATGCTAACTTGATAGAGATAGATCCATGCAAAAATAAAATAATTTTAACTTTTTGATCTAAATAAAATATTCAATCTCATTCGTTTCAAAGTGGATTAAATAAGTTGTGATTATTGAACAAAAATATTTATGTTTTTAATTGTTAAATAGGAAATGAGAAATTTGATCATAATTTTTTTTTTTGCCGAGCATAAATAAAACAAAATGAAATAAATAAATATATTTTATTTTATTAGAACTGCTCGATTTTTTGTATTTTTTAGAACTCTTTTCGATTCGGACCGCTGCCATTTTGATAAGTATTTTTTTTTTATTTTTTTAAGTTTATCTTAATTAAATATTGCTTACTTCCTATACTAGACTATGCTCTGAAAAATCGTTCACGTCAGGATATCACGTGATAAACATCTACATAAAAAATCATTCAAAATACACACGTTCGCACGTTGTATTAATTATATCAAACCAAACTTTTTATGTCTGAACATTTTTATTTATTCATATAGTAAACAGATTAAGTTTAACAAATTATTAAGGAACTACGTTAAAAAGTTCAATTTCCTTAGGAACAAAATTAATACTAGTGCCTGAATTAACAACGTTAGTGTCATAAAATCCTTGATATTGCAAAGATACATTCTGACCATAGAAACTAAATGTATTACCAAAATCAAATCCTTGATTATAATTTTCATATATCGCATAGCTAGGATTTATTACACGACTTATTCTCATGTTTTTGATATCTCCTTTATTTTCTTCACAAGAAAAAATAAAACTATCTGATGTATTATGCCATTGACAGCTTCCTCCATACGGCTGAAATCCTATCGGACTATATCCACCATATATTTTTGAAGATTGATCTTGGACTAAAACTAAGTATTTAGCTTGACCATAACAATAATTGTTAAATGTGTTAATCCCATCACGACTACTACGAAATACGAGACTAAACGTGTATTTTGAACTTGATTTATTTCGAACAGCTTTCCCGTCTTTTTTATCAATCCAATTAGCAATTACATAAGCAAGTCTTGGTTTAATAATGTTTGATTCAATCTGACACTTTCCAAATCGTGGTGGTAAAGTAGTCACTTTTGTTAAAGCATCTTTCATATAATATTCCATAATATCTTCATAAAGTTGATGAGGAATGATAGGCTTATAAGGACGAACCTTATCAAAAAAGTCATCAGAACTAATGTCTGACAAACGAATAAGAGGAATAAATCGACTTAAAGTGTTCTTCAATGCTTCGTAATCTTTGTTTTTCCATTTAGCCCTATCGCTATTCTTGCTTCCTAAACTAGGAGCTTGTTCAATACCCCATTTAATTAAATAATCCCAAGCAATAGCTTCTTCAATTTGCAAGTCATCTCGCTTAAGCAAAACATAAAAGATATCTTTATCGAGTGTTGGAAATTCTTTTGAGGTGATAAATGGTTGTGGGTTTGCACAAATAGAATTAAGACAATGATCTTGTAGTTTCTTACAACTATCAAGCTTAAAGACCGTATGTAGCACAAGAACAAAATTTTGTTGAACCCAAGCCTTTTGTTTGTCAATTAAATGATCTTGTACATATTTAAATAATTCCTCAAGAAGAAGTTCATCGGACGCAACCAACAATCCAAGAATATCAGCACCTGATTTTTTGGTCAAATCCACTTCTCCCGTATAAATGTATCTTTTTATATTAGTGGGAAAAGGAAAAGATTAGTTAAGCTAAAAGTGATTTGGCATAAATTTTAGAAAATTGTCATACTTGAGAATCGTTTCAAAGACGATAGGATTAACATTAGGCTTTTTAAATTCAAACATATTGTTTTTTTTAGTTAACCATTTAGGCGAAAGAGCGGTTTTGAAATAAGGAGAACGAGCCCTCAGGATATTAGTATGTGCTCGAAATTCTTTTATATAAGCATTTTCCCCAGCTTGAATAATAATATTATGATCATCAGAATCATTTAACATGATTGAAAAGTCTTGTGAAAGACTCTCATGGAATTTTGAAACCATTTTTTTTTTTTAAATATTAATATTATTTTTTAAAGAGAAAAAAAAATATTGTGCGTATTTTTCTATGAAAAAAATTTTTTTGCGAAAAATGTATGTAGAATTTTCCCGGTTGAAATTTTATTGCAACACACACTTCACACTTTAAATGGCGCAATACTTAAATCATGTGAAAATATTCTTTTCTTGAAAGAATTCACACAATTATTTAGAACAATATAAGTAAAAAAAATGGAAAAACGAAAATTTCCAAAATTGATCATATTACTAATATAAACATTAACATCTGAACAATGTAACAAACTTCTCTTTTGATATTCGGAACAAACAAGTGTGAAATTTTTATTCGCATTAACCAATTAAGGTTAATGTTTATTATGCAATCGCCAATTGCTTCTCAAAATTGTGAAGGCTAACGTGGTATCACAAAATTAACTAAAAAGGGAGACAACTATTCAAGTCAAGACACTAAATTTTCAATTGAAGGTTTTCTCACACTAAAAAATTTTCCAAAAAAGAATATATAAAACAATAATCAAGTTAATAATGTTTTACAAAATTAGCATTATTAGTTAACGATCAAGAACTTTTTCAAGCAAAATATTTGAATGAATATTTTCCAAAAAAATTGCTTCACAAATAATTTACCAATAATCTAATTAATATTACTTTTTTTTCTATTCATTAAATCATTACCAGAGTACTAAAGCGGTTTAGAATATAGCTTTTAAGGAGTTTGGTAACGTCGTTGGTAAGAAAGATATCTGAATATGGTTCTGTTAAGGTATTTTGGCATAGTTGGTAGGAAAATATTTTGACTTGTGCAGTAAAGATGAGTTAACGAGCTTGGAAGATTTGGTAAGCAAGTAATTGAAGTATTTGAACAGTCCAGATAAGTATCTTGGTTAATTCAGTATATTCGAATTCGTAAGTCATTCTTATTTAATTTCGTGCGTGATAGTTATTTCTTGTATAATTTTACACGTGATGAATACTATTGGTCACGTTCTTTTTTAAAAAAATAGCTTTATGCTTTATATTCCGATTTATGCACTTCAGGTATAAATTTTACATAATCTTCAGGTGTACCAGGAATGATCTCTAGCGCCTTGTGAAATTTCTACAGCTATTCCAATGTCATACTTACTCTCCGCCTCCAACATTAAAAGGTGGACAACCACCACAAGAGCACGCCAACTCTTGAATGTCACTCTTTTAAAACTTTTTAATATAAGGAATTCCACCAAGAAATATTGACTGTTGGTTAGTTGCCGATCTAATTCTTTTCAATAATCCAAAGTCTGCTAGTTAATAGCTACTTGATGAATATTACATAATTAATAAAATAATTGATTAATCAGTATGCAAATTTCATAAAATCGAATATAACGTATTACTAATTTTATAATAAATAGACAAAAATATCAATTATATTTTGTAACCAATGGACTTTTGCAAAACTGAGAATACCAATTACTAAATTCATAGTATTTAAAAAGTTTGCTTAAAATAGATTCTTTAAGCTGATTAATCCACTCATTTGGATTATTGGTATTTTGCATTTTTATTTTTGTATGTAGCGAAAATTTAAAATTTCTTGGAATCAAAAGGAAAAATTTCTAAATCGAAAATCGATTCTACTTTTTAGAATCGATTCCAATCCCTATACTGAAGACGTGATCGGCAAAATATCATGGTTTGTATTGCATTACGCTATTCTCAATATCAAATAATAATAAAACAGAGACAACGAATCTCCAATAAAACAACTTGATCCTACAAGAACTCAATCTCATCTAACAAATGTTTCTAACAGATAAAAGCATATTAAGCTTCGGATAAAAATGAAAAAGATCACATCTGAAATTACTAAATGAAAATATTACCATGTTCACAAGAGGGGTCAATAAAAAAAAATCTTTTCCCCAAAATCTCAAGGAATGCATATAACGATAATAACTATACGATTGTTTCAATATCTATCACAAAAATAATGAATTAGGGGTGAATATTAATTCACGTGAGATTGTGACTTTTGTACTCGTTGATCGGCAGAATCTACTAATATAAATTTGTCAAATTTCCGTTTCCTACAAATAATTACTTTATCGATATGGGGGTTTCAGGTCTTTTGAGGTATGAAAAAAAAAATATGATTTATTAGATCAAGACAATTTGTTCTGTAACAATTTCTTTATAACTTTTTAGTTGGTTATCCATGAAATATCCTAAAATCATTGAAGAAATCCCAGTTGAAGTTAATAAGGAGTTCGATAATTTATATATAGATATGAATCACATTATTCATTCTTCTTGTCCAGAAAACGAGGTATAAAAATTTTTTTAAGGCATCAAAAATTTTCATCATCAGCTTGCTAATTCAATTTAGTTTTATTTACTCATAAGTCTGCTCCTGATATAATAATTAAAAAAATATTTGAATATATTGAGCAAATAGTTGCTATTATTCGCCCTCGAAGGGTTTTATATCTCGCTATTGGTAAATCATAATATTTTGTATTCTAATAGTCGATAAACTCTAACCTTTTGTTTTTAGATGGAGTGCCACCTCGTGCCAAAATGAATCAACAAAGATCTCGTAGATTTATAAAAGCAAAAGAAAATGCAACCAAGTCATTTGATAGTAATTGTATAACACCAGGTATATCATTCCATCAAATTTCTTTGTAAGTGATAAACATGTTTTGTCGAATCTTTAATTTGCAATTTGATATTTGATTAATAATAGGTACGCTCTTTATGGCACGTCTTGCAGAAGGTTTGCGATATTTGATCACAGATAAATTTAATACAAAATCTACAGAATCAGGATGGAAAAAAGTATGTTGCTAAACTTTATGATTTGTTATTTCTTTCTTTTTTTTTTTTTAAAAAAAAAAAAAGAAAAAAAGTCTGATATTTATGATTTTTTGTTGCTTTACTTTTTTTTACAGTTAAAAGTCATCTTATCTGATGCAAGTGTACCAGGTGAAGGTGAACACAAAATTATGGATTTTATTCGTGCACATCGTGCTAGTCCAGATCACGATCCTAATACAAGTCACGTAATATTTAGCATGGTCGGTCCTAATTTATTAAAAAAAAAGATTCCGTTATTACTTAATATATTCATTCATAAATGTTACGTTGCTTTTTGATTTAAAGGATGCCGATCTTATTTTGCTTTCATTGGCTACACATGAACCACACTTTAAAATACTTCTAGAAAAAAAACGCACAGGTTTTTAAACATTCTTTTTTTTTTTTTTTTGCTGAAAACCACTTGTTAACTGATTAACATAAATTAAGAAGATCAAGCCACACAAAATCAGGAATATGCCTTTATAAATATTCAAGTTCTTCGAGAATATTTGGAAATTAAGTTTAAAGCAAACCATCCTTTCTCATTTAATTTGGAGAAAGCGATCGATGACTGGGTTTTTATTTGTCTTTTCGTAGGTAATGATTTTCTTCCGAATCTGCCGTTTTTGAAAATCTGGGAAAATGCTATAGATATATTGATATCCATATGGAATAAATTATCAGAGAGTGTATATTTAACCGATTGTGGAGTTGTAAGTTTTTTTATTTAAACTAATTATTATTATTAAAATGAGGTTTAAAAGTTAGTCACAATTCGACATCTAGGTGGATTTAACAAAGTTACAAAATTTGGTTAAAGAACTTGGTAGACAGCAACTATGCGATGATGGGTATAAAAAAAATTATTATAAGCAAAAGTTTGGAGTTGAGCTACCGAATAAAGAATTTCAAACAACGTATGTCATCAAATTTATAAAATATTATATTATGATTTATTAATTTATTTTTTTATTACAGTCTTGTTAAGAGTTATATTAAAGGTCTCTATTGGGTTTCAAAGTATTATTATCAGGTATATTTTTATATTTATTGGTTGTCTGAAAGCCATCTGTTAACACTTGTAAACATTTATAGGGTGTTCCATCGTGGAAATGGTATTATCCTCACCATTATTCACCATTTGCATCAGACTTTATCGATGTTGATGTCATAAATGAGGTTGATTTGGATGAATTGGGCGAACCTCTCAAACCATTTGAACATTTAATGATTGTATTACCTCCACATAGGTTAGGTGACCATAATTATTCTGTTTATTTTTGTATTAAGTATATATTAGTGATAATTAAATTAATTATAGCAAAGAACATTTGCCAGAACCTTTACAAAATCTTATGACTGAAAAAGATAGCGAAATAATTGAATTTTACGATAATACAGATCTGAACGGTGAAAGTATATAAATTTTTATTAAATTTTTATCATTTATCTTCCTATATAAACTTTTAATCCTTCATATTAGTAGTATACTTTCACTCTCTGATGAATCACGTTTATGTAAAGCAATTGTGTCTAAATATCCTCAATTAAATGATGATGATATTACGTTAAATGCTCATGGATCTGAAATCCTTTTTATTAGCAATCATCATCATAAATTCTATAGTAATTTATATTCCCTGTACTCAAAAAATGGTTCAGTAGAAGTGAGTTTTATTAATTAAATTTTAGAATACTTTGATTATTTTTAAATAATTTTTATTTTAATTAAAATAATAAAATATATATATAATGATAGATGCGATTGGATTCAAGTATTAGCGATAAACTGATTGGATTTGTATCAAAAGATTCCAAATTTATAAATGAAGGAGATAATATTGTTAACAGATCATTGAGGTAAGTTTCATCAATAATTGATTTATTAAATTTTTATCAAAATATTAATAAATTAATTTGTTTTTAGCGTACGCTATAAACTTCCAGCCAAAAAAGCTCATAAATGCACTCTTTTACCAAATGTTAAAATGGATTCTCCAGTATTAGGATCAGGAACAGAGTGGAGAAAGTAGTGGTAAATGCTTAACATAAAAGTCAGAATAAAATATCTAAAATAATTAGATGCATATTTAGTATCACCCGGTTGGTTATGCTATATCATGAATATATTTAAATTACCTTTTTATAATAAGGAAATATGGGTGGTAATCTATTAAAATTGAGGTACAAAACATAGTAAATCATAAAATCCATACCTCAATTTTAATAAATCACCACCCATATAACTTTTAGATTTTTTTTTAAATCTAAAACTTGATTGAATTTAGGTAAAGATATTTATTGTTTAATCTAAAAACGTCTTTAATTCTTTGAATAAAGATATTACTATCTCATATATTATATATATACTTCATTAAAAAAATTATTTAATTTATATATTAACCATTTTAATATACAAAAATTATTAAGATTAAAATATATAAAAATTATATAAAATTATATAAAAAAAATTAAACAGAATTAGAAAGATTTTTTGAATATATAGTTTAAATAGAAAATTATTAGAAATAGATAAATTAAATTAACAAATTTTTTGCAAATATAAATTCTTAAAAAATGAAAACTAAATATGTAGTCTAATATACCTGATAGTTAGATCATTAAGTTAATTAAGTTTTTTAAATAATTTTAATTATTTTTTAAATACATTTAATCAAATATATTTTATTTATTAAATTTATACTTGCAATATAAAAAATTCTTTTTTAATAATAAAAAATATTTCTTTATAAATTAATTTCATTTCTATATAATATAAATTTATTTTGAATAAAAATACTGATTTACTTACATAAACATCTTATAAAATAATATAGTTAATTTTTATAGATAATAACTTATAGTTATATATTTTATGATAATTGTTTTACCAAAATGTAATACAAAATTTGAAAGATATAATACAAATTATAAGTACATAATTATATTATCATATAATTTATAATTTTACCAGAATTAAGAATTTAAGTAAAGTTTAACGATTTTTGATTTAACACAAAATTTAATATATAATAATATCTATTTATACTAAAAATATTATCAGATTTAAACTTTACTTATTATTATAAGCATTGTTTAATTATTTAAATCTTATAACATTTTAAAATTATTGATCTTTTGCTAAAAATTTAAATAATAGCAAATCTAACCTAATTAATATAGTTTTATATATTAATAAAGATGATACTACAACTAGGACTTACTAATCACAATTTGCAACCCATAATTCTTTATTTTATAAGGCTACAATTGCAACTATTTTTGAAAATAAGTTGAGAAACTATCTTTATGTATTAATAAAAAAATGTAAAGAATCAAAATACGTAACTTTAATTAATAATAAATCATTATAATACTTAACTTATTTCAATTTTAAATAAATTAAATTTAATGATATCTTGATAATATAATCATATGGGAAGCGGTTAGTAGAAACGGAAGAAATCCAAATTTTGGTCAAAATTTATATTATTGGATCATTTGGCTGATTTCAGTCATGTGTATAAAATTAGCTTAATAATTAAAATTAACAAAAATTTTGGATTTCCCCTTTTCTACTGACTGCCTCCCATATGTTATATAATGAATACCATAAAGAAAATTATGAGTTTTTATGTATAAAGTTTATATAATGCAAATAGGTATTTAAAATTAAAACTATATATGATGTTGATAATGTTATAAAATTCTTTTATGCATTTATACTTATATATTAAAATATTTTATATAATTTATATCTTTTATAATTAATTAAGTTTCCTGTAATTAGTTACTATTCCTAGTAATTAATTATATTTTTAAGTATTAATTATACCCTATAATTAATTATATTACTCATAATAATTAAAATACCATTATTATTAATTATAATACAAATATTAATTACCATCCTATAATTAATTACATTTCTTATAAATAATTACTATCTTTTAATTGATTTTGCAATTATGTTTTTTTAAAATAAAGTTAATTAATTACCATAATTACATATTATATATATGCTTAATTAAGATAATTATCATATTAAGTATACTTATAACTAATGATATATTTTCTTAAATCTTATATAAATATTCATAAAATATTTCTATAATTATATTTAATTTTAATTATCAAATGCTAAAATCTAAAATTTCAATTTTAGTTTATTTTTAAATTAAATTTCTATATATTATAAGTTTATATTTTATTACATAATATATTATTTATTATAAATTTTTATAAAATATAGCTTTAAATATTTTAATATATTATTTCTAATTAAAAAGTATTTTTTTAAAAAACTCTAACTTCAAGCTTATATTTTTATAATGTATATATTATTTGTTAAGCTTATGTTACATTTCTCTATTTTTATTTTTACTATATATTCTAGAAACTTAAAATTTTTTAACTAATAAAAAATATTTGTTTCACCTTCTCTTAAATGTCATCAGTCATAAAGTTAATAAAAAACTTCAATTAATATTGGTTAATTTAACCAGTGAAAATGATTACCAGTAATAAATAGAACTTCTTATATAAATTATTAAATTTGATAAATCTTATTTTAAAAAAAGTTAGTTATATTAATACTTATAATATAATTAGTAATATTGGTAAATTCAAACCTAAAAAAAAATAACTAGTTATAAACAATAAAAATGTTATTTTTACAGATTTTAATAATTTATATTAAAAAATGCTATAAAAAGATTAAAATATCAATATTATACTATTTATATATTTATAATAATTAATTTATTATTTTTATTTAATAATATAAATATATAAATATAAAAAACTTATAATAAAATATAAATATTATAAAAGATTATAGTATAAATATATAAAATAAAATATATTATATCAAAATTTTTAATATATGAAAGGCAGTCAGTAAAAAAGAAAAAATCCAAAATTTTTATTAATTTTAATTATTAAGCTAGTTTTGTACACATGACTGAGATCAGCCAAGTGGTCCAATAATATAAATTTTGACCAAAATTTGGATTTTTACCTTTTCTACTGACTGTTTCCCACAAATATAATGTTAAATAAAATTAAATATTATCTTTTAAAATTAATTACATAATTTAATAAATAATAAAACTTGAAATATATTAATAATATAATATAATTATTAATTATAAATGGTAATTTTAATCATAAATAAATTTATTATATATTACATCTTAATTATTAAACATTATAAAACTTCAAAAAATAAATTTTAAATTAAAAGTGTATTTCTTCACTTTTTCTAATTATAAATCTTTTTAAATATAGACTATTTATACTAAAGATAGCCACTATAATTAAAAAAAATAGCGCAATTGAATTATAACTTGTGGTGCAATTAAATTCCCTTATGGCATAATTAAGTTAAAACTCAATTGAAATTTGAAAATAATTATAGAGACCATCTTTAATTTAGACCAAATACTAGTTTTTAAATTGGTCCTATAATCAAAAAAATATTTTGCTAATCATATTACAAATATACAGGCAATCTTAGATATTATATTTATATTACCTAAAATTTCAAGCTAAATTTAAACTCAGAATTATCAATTCTTTTTAGATACATAATCAAGAATATAAACAAATAAAAAAGTGGCAGAACTTATTTACCAAGTTCTTATTTATAAAAATGGGTTTAAAACTACTAGAAAACTTTAATGTAAAATCAAACAGATCTTTTAATTTGTCTAAATAAGTGATTTCTTTACCTTTTTACATTTATATAACATTTATAATTTATGTGATTTATTATATAATGATATATATATTATACATCTCACATTATATCAAATATCATCAGCAGTAACTTCTTATATTGATTACATATTGTATATGTATCTTCTTTGATCTCACATAATTCTAAATTTTCTGTAGTTCTCAATGTATATACAAAATTTATGATTATTAAACTATTAAAAAGGATTATATCCCTAAAAGCTACTATTATAAAGATGATTTTTTTATACAACAACATTAATGAATAACATTAAACATCTTTCACTAAAAAAACTACTAATTACTAAAAGTAAATCATCTAAAAATTATGAATTTTTTCAAATTGATCTTAAATCATATTTTGAATTTCTATTGAATCACATATAAAATTATATTGTTAAAGCAGCTAAAAAAATTTACTTCATAAACTTTTTGCTGATCACAATAATAACCTTTTATTCAAAATTTTCAAAAATGTTTATCACCAGTTATTTAATATATAAAAATTAGAATGTCTAACAAATAATATTATATATACAAATAATATTAAGAATATATTGTTACTAATAAATAACTAAGTTAAAAAATTTGCAAGCTTCTTTAACTCTTGCTTTGATCTTACTAAAATATAATCATTACTTTAATTTTCTCTCATTCACAATTAAATTTTTATTGAAAGATTGCAGTAGTCATAAAAATTGAAGAAATAGAATTTAAATTCAAGATAATCAACAAATGTTTTTGAATAAAGTTGCTTTATCTTCTAAATAGATTAATTAAGTATGATTAATTAATCCTTGAATAAAAAAGGCAAGCTATTATTTTAGACTAAATCTTAGTTAAACAGGAATTATTGATCTCATCTCAATATATTAAAACTGAGTCTGCTTGTTATTTATAATACACAGTGGATTTATCTTATTATACTTCTAAAATAACTATAATTTAGCAATCCATCTATAAACTACTTGATAATATTAATCTATCCACATATAAGGATCTTATAATTGCCTTATTTAAAGAGAAATAGAAATAAATTATTAATTCACTTCCTAATGAAAAAACTTCTAAATTATCTAAAATTTTTAATAAAATATTTAAAAATATTGGTCTTTTAATATATAAATCGATTTAGACTTTGTTTGTACTTATTTTACTCTTTTTCTTATTCTAGCTTGTTTTTAGCGGGACTTTTCAATTAAAAACAAAACTGTAACTTTTGCCATTCATCTAGGTCAAAAGGTTAAAGTTTTTCTCAATAGAAAGGACTTTTTTTTGAGAATTATAAAAGGAG